ACGGGAGGTACCTGCGCGAACCTGTTCGAGAGTCTGGCCCGTCAGGGCGACACAGCGGCGAAGCAGGGGGCTTTGTCCCCCAAGAGATGAGAGTAGCCGCTGCTCACAACCAAGATTATAGTAATAGTGCCATGGGAGATGGTGGTGTTGCTGTTGGCTTTGGATACGGAGCCACAACCAGCGACGGGGTACCAAGGTGTGCGGTACACTTCTCCTCCGTTCAGCGGGAAATCGAAAGATTTCAACCGATGGCTAAATGATTTCCGCATGGCAGCTAATGGCGCAAACCTGTTGGAACAACTTGAAGAGGGCGGGATCTTGGAGATCCCCGTCAACAGCGGAAAGAGCAAGTTTTCGCTGCCACAGCAGTACCGGAGCGAGCAAGTAGAGCTCGCATTCCACGCATGGAACTTCCTGTCTCACTCGTTGAAAGAAAAATATCGGAAAATCATGAAGCGGGCAGAGACGCCCGAGGGAGCTCTTCGTGAGCTCAAGACCATACACGACCCTGAATCATCTGTACAGCCGTCAGAGGACCTCAAGTCCCTGACGTCGACCAAGATCTCTAGAGGTGAAAACCCCNAGTATGCCATGACAAAGCACAACCTGCGACACGCGAAGGAGTTGACGCGAACCGGTGTGCNAGATGCTCCAAACCGCAAAGTCCTTCACCGAGAAAGGACTAACTGTCAACGAAACGTTCGTCCTTCTCCGGATGCCCANCCGTCAACAGCGGAAAGAGCAAGTTTTCGCTGCCACAGCAGTACCGGAGCGAGCAAGTAGAGCTCGCATTCCACGCATGGAACTTCCTGTCTCACTCGTTGAAAGAAAAATATCGGAAAATCATGAAGCGGGCAGAGACGCCCGAGGGAGCTCTTCGTGAGCTCAAGACCATACACGACCCTGAATCATCTGTACAGCCGTCAGAGGACCGCAAGTCCCTGACGTCGACCAAGATCTCTAGAGGTGAAAACCCCCAGAACGCCCTACATGAGATTCTCCAAACCGCAAAGTCCTTCACCGAGAAAGGACTAACTGTCAACGAAACGTTCGTCCTTCTCCGGATGCCCATTCGGACGAGTATGCCATGACAAAGCACAACCTGCGACACGCGAAGGAGTTGACGCGAACCGGTGTGCCAAAGGAAGTAATGATCGAATACAAGGCGATCAAGGACAAGCTGGAGCAGGGGAAAGGAAAAGGGGCGAAGGGCGCAGAGCATGCGTACTTCGCCGACGGTGAGGGCCACAGGGAGCGGTAGTCAAGTAGGAGTCAGGGGCAAGGTCGTGGTCGTGGCGGCGGCCGTGGCCGCAGCAGCAGTCGTGGGCGCGGCGGAGGCGGTCGCGGCGGGGGTGGCGGCGGTCGCGGCGGGCGCTCAGGCGGATCCGGAGGAGTGGAGGAGAGCACGGGAAGCAGCAGTGGACGCGCCGATGGCGGCGGTGGCGGGGACTATGAATTCCCGGGCCGGTGCTTTAGGTGTGGACATCGTGANGGGCAAGGTCGTGGTCGTGGCGGCGGCCGTGGCCGCAGCAGCAGTCGTGGGCGCGGCGGAGGCGGTCGCGGCGGGGGTGGCGGCGGTCGCGGCGGGCGCTCAGGCGGATCCGGAGGAGTGGAGGAGAGCACGGGAAGCAGCAGTGGACGCGCCGATGGCGGCGGTGGCGGGGACTATGAATTCCCGGGCCGGTGCTTTAGGTGTGGACATCGTGAACATCAAGCGATCGGCTGCACTACTAACGAGAAGGACTTCGTGCCGTGGTGTGCGCGCTGCGAGGGGTGGGGCCACACCAAAGAAAAGTGCGCGACGGAGGAAGCCGTCCTAGCGCAAGTGGTGGAGCATGGGAGCGACGTGGACTCCGTGGAAGACCAGGCGTTTTGTGCCGTGGCAGTCCCCCCAGGCGAGTGTGGTACCGTTGGTGAAGTAGGTCTAGTGGGGGTTGTGGAACAAGGCCAGGCGGTGTACGTGGCCGGCACAGCGGCCACGTGCTCCATGTTCCGATGTGCAGATAACTTCGTGAACTACCGTGAGCGTAGCGGTTGGATGAAGGGGATCGGAGACGACAAGGCCCCCGTTCCTCTTCTAGGATACGGAGATGTGACCTTAGTCCTACAGACGGAAGTCTGCCCACAATCACCCCCGTGACTGCGTTCGCATGCTAACCGAAGCTGGAACCGTATTCACCACCCGCAATTTCACCTGGAGCAATGTGCCCGCTGCATCGCCCGCTCCCCCGCAGCTGCTACCTCTCGCAGATGACGAGCAGGGCGGGGAGGGCGAGAGCAGAGCGGATGCATCACGCCAAGGTTGGGGG